GCAGATTTAACAGAGTATTACTGTAGCTTTTGCCAGGTTACTGCTCTTTCAGCAGATCAACACCAGAAATAGGGAAAAAGGAACTCTGAGCCATACAGTTATTATCAAACTCTGACAAGAGGACATTGCACAGCAATTACCCATGACTTCTCTACAGTGAGAGAAATAATGCTTCTGGAATGTTATTTCATGTTGGAGTTATTTTATGAATTGCTGCTGGGTGGTTTGGAAGATGATCTCACACTTTTACACAACTGTCTGCCAGCTGGTACCAAGTTTCAGAAGCTATGATGTAAGCTATTTTCTAAGTGCATGTCTTGCTCTAGTTTCTGGTGAAAGCAGTCACATCTTGACTTCATAGATGTTTATTTTGTTTGTTTTTAAGAGTCTTTGAGGACCTCTCCCAATTTGTACTATAAAAATGACAAGTCTTAAAGTGTTTTTCCTAGTTAAGAAGTCCTACTTTTACAGCCATCTTCCCTCTCTACTGCCCATTCAGTTTTTCCATAACTATATGTTAAAGCATCAAACTCTCACAGAACTCCTGCTTATAAATTCAGTGCAGGTTTCATGACTATCTCAATTTTGTTTCTGATGAAGTTTCATGTTTAGTGACATTTTCTTTTTGTATGTCAATCGCTTCATTCTGTCAGTTTGTTTCACAAAGCAGCCATAAAATATTTTAAGAAACATTAATCTTCCTTGCAATCAGGAAAACATCAAACTGAGTTTTGGGAATATGATTTTAAGTTGACACAGACACTTTAAAAGAATGAATAGTCTTTTTTAGCATCATTACATCAATCTACTACACTACAGTGAAGCATAATTAAATGTTATGCAGCTGACTAGAGAACTGCTGCAGCTTCCAGTGATTTCAAGTCTTTAGGTTAAATCAGCAAAGCCAGAGTACTCATTTAAGAGTAGTTTTAATTTTTTTTCCTACTTCATCAATAATTAATATTTGTCCCCTCCATTTAAAAATAAAATGTCAAGTATTTATGCTTCTTTACGACAACGTGTTGCAACTTGTTGCAGGTGTTCAACTTGCAATAGAAATTCCCAGCTTGGAATAGAAAAAGCAAGTGATGAAAACTGACTCCAGTATTCCTAAAGCAATCATAGATAACCCATTATGCTTTCCTGCATTGTTGTACAATTCATTTCAAACTTCAGCTGTTGAACAAGATTATAGTACTACTGTAAAGTCTAGATCAACAGAAGAACCTCAGGTGGTAGAAATGTAAACCTGTTGGCCAATACAAAATCTCACCACTACTTCACCACGCAAATCTCATGAAGTTCAGCAAGGCCAAGTGCAAGGTCCTGCACCTGGGTCAGGGCAATCCCAAGCACAACTACAGGCTGGGCAGAGAATGGATTGAGAACAGCCCTGAGGAGAAGGCCTTGGGGTCACTGGTGGACAAGAAGCTCAACCTGAGCCGGCAATGTGTGCTTGCAGCCCAGAAAGCCAGCCATGTTCTGGGCTGTATCAAAAGTGACCAACAAGTCAAGGGAAGGCAATTCTCCCCCTCTCCCCTGCTCTTGTGAGACCCACCTGGAGTACTCTGGGGCCCCCAACATGAGGACATGGAGCTGTTGGAGCAAGTCCAGAGGAGGGCCATGGAGATGATCAGAGGGCCGGAGCACCTCTCCTATGAAGACAGGCTGAGAGAGTTGGGGTTGTTCAGCCTGGAGAAGAGAAGGCTCCAGGGAGACCTTATTGCAGCCTTCCAGTGCCTAAAGGGGGCCTACAAGAAAGCTGCAGAGGGACTGTAGCAATAAGACAAGGGGTAATGGCCTTTAGCTGAAGGAGGGGTCGATTTAGATGTTAGAAAGAAATTCTTCACTGTGAGAGTGGTGAGGCCCTGGAACAGGTTGCCCAGAGAGGCTGTATGCCCCATCCCTGCAAGTGTTCTAGGCCAGCCTGGATGGGGCTTTGGGCAACATGGCCTAGTGGAGGGTGTCCCTGCCCGTAGCAGGGGGGTTGGAACTAGGTGATCTTTAAGGTCCCTTCCAACCCAAATCATTCTATGATAATTGCTCCTATACTAACTAGTCTTGGTCAAAACCATGTTTGTTCTATTCACTTGGAATATTCTTTGCTATCATATGCCTGGAACCAGATTAGTTTTAGCTGCACAAAGGGTTGAACACATACACAAAAGGAAACCAGTACATCTTGCCTAGCATTTAAAATTTGTCTATACACATCTTAATTTATGCAGTCTACATCATACTATTCATAGGCTTGTTAAAGCTGGATTTGCTTCAGCTGTTGTATTCACATTTATGCAGTGAAAAGCAGTGTTACTGTGGGATTGTATTTTAAGACCCCATACAAAGAATTTCAGGGTACAAGAGTCCGTTACTCATATTACACAATTCTCATCAAGAATTACATGCTGTAAGATCCCACAGACGAAGCCTCAATAGCATTAAAACCCATCTCTTAGACACACTACTCAAGCCTTCAAAGCAGGAAT